CCTGCTGAGCAAAATATTTACATGTAGGTAGGTAGGTAGGTCCCAATATATTATCATCTGCTTCAATGACATTTTCCATTCACTGTTGAAGTCTCAGTGGAAAGGGTTCCCTTTAGCTGGCTTTAAGGCACTTTATTTTGTATATTTTCTTTAACCTTGCTAGGTGTTAATTCACAGGGATCATGCTTTTCTTGTTTTCAGCCTCCCCATCCCCAGTTCCTCTTTTAGTATCAAAAAAATTCCTAAGCTTACTTAAGTCATTCCGAAAAATGTTAAGGAAATTTGAGAAAAACAGATCCATGAAAAAATACTTTAGAAAGTAATCTTTGGAGATCATTTACTGCAAGTATGATGTACACTACCTTAACAGTGAGAAGATGCAAAATATTCCTAATATATATATATATATTAAAAAAAAAAACCAAAAACAAAACTAGTAATCAAATAGTGTAATAATTGTTCCCATTAACATCATGTAACTGTCTGAACAACATTAATGTAATCCATCCGCCGCAGTACACCTTGTATATAAGCTTTTCAAAGGTATTACTGGGGATCTCTAATTTTCCACTGTGTACTGCTGCTTTGCTGCAAGAGATTCTCGTCTCCCATCCTCTCCCTTCCCTCGTTACACTTTAACTTGTCTTTACGACGTCGTCTCAGCTCCAGGCAGGACAGCGGTTTAGAATAAGACACAGAATCCATCATGGATTCTTAAAACATTAGATCCATATATGGACCAAATATAAAAGACAAAAATTGCTACAAGGACTAATCTGATAGCAGGTTGTGCTTACTTTCTCCCCTCCCTTAAAGTTGCCTGGCCACAATAAGTAGAAGTATATTTTTAACTGAAATAAGCAGCCATTTGAAAAACTCCTGCAGCTAAGACCCTTGCCATTGCCACGCTGATTTGTTTTGTTCTAATGCAATTTTTGGAAAATAATGGCTATTTTTAACAATAAGTAGACTCTTTGTAACGCAGCAGTCACAACAAAACATTTTGATACAGTGTTTTGTCACTTTGCTTGAACATTCAGGTCCCAATTTACAGAATCCTAGCAACGAAGACAGCAACGGAAAAGGTAGAAAACAATCTTTTGTTCATAAGGAAATTCTAATTCAAGTCAGACTTCTGCAGATCTGTCAGATCATTCTTAAACAAATTTTTGTTTGAAGGCAAATATTGATCACAGTTTTGTTTAAAAGCAAAAACACAACAACAAAAAACCAACAGCCTTGTTCTTCTCAAAATGAGCTCTTTGTAAGAAAACAACAATGATTTCTAAAATATATCCTGTGTGGTCTTTTAAAAGTGAACTATCAAAAAACATTTTCCCAAAAATAAATTAGATAATTAAAAAAAAAGTCTTTTCCAGCATAGCTGGACATTAGGCTGTCCTCACTGAGCCATTAGTATTGCTGCTTTTCCCAAAACTTGGGTCATTTTTTTCAAACCATAGTTCAGCCAGCTGTTGTGTCGACCCATAAGTTGAAGCTTTGGACCCCAAGCACATTTTATACTGTTTAGGATCGAGATTCGGGTCACAAAAAACAGGATGATGTACGTGGACTACTCCAATTTCTTGGCTTCGGAACGTTTTTAAGCCAGCTTGAATTACTTTGTTAAAAAGGTCTACGTCTTCAAGGCCCCAACCTTGGATGGAGACATCAAAGCCACCTGCTCGAAGAAGATCGCCTTTGTAAATACAGGTAATACCAAAGCCGTAGTTCCTCCAGAAACCTGTTTTCTGGGTGAAGGCAAAATGATTGTCACTAGGAACTTTTCCACTATAAACAATCTTTGGATCGTACTGGCTAAAAATGACTGGAAAGTATACTTGTTGACCCAAAACTGTATTGGCTCTACACCGCTGGAGAAATTCTGTGGTAAACACTAAGTCAACATCACAGAAGAAGAGTAAAGACTCATTTTGAAACTGAGAAGATCCGACTTCCAGAGCCAATGCCCTGGAGAACTCCCCAGACACCGGTAAGATCTGCATGTCTGCCTTGGGGTATTTGGAACGGAAATCTCTCATCAGCTCAATCTGCTTTGCTTTGTCCGGGTTCGAATTGGAATTGAAAAGCAGCACAACCAGCTTGACGTTCTGATTTGGAATGAGGCACGTTTTTTCAAAATTCCCCATGAACCTTGCAAACATGTCAAAGCGTCCAGAGAGAGGAATTAGGATGTTGATCTTCTTGTCTTTGAGCTCCTTCCTCTCTACTTTGGAGCCGGTGAGCTGGAACGGAACAAACATCTTCAGTGAATTGGAGAGGAAAGACAGAGATCCAGAATCCTGGTTAATTTTGCTGGCCAGCTCCTTGGCATCCATCTCTTCGTGCTCCATGAACTGGATCTTGCTGAAGGTCTGCTGCAAGTAAGCGTGCCTCCTGACAGGGACAGTCATCTTCTTTCCTTTATGCTTCTTGTACAGAAGCAACAAGTCAAGAACGTACTCCGCTCCATACATAGGATTCACTCTGCGATAGCCATATTGTATTTCCTTGAAATCTATGATCCTCCCCCGGGTCTTAGCATTCGCGTTGATCATTTCCATGACCTGCATAACAATGTCATCCAACGCTTCACGCTGAGAAGAGTCCATTCCTCTCCGAGGAGGCTGTCCATCGGCCCCGGAATACAAATACTTCCCCGTAAGAAACTCCCACTCCAAGATCTCCTCTCGATGCCGTGGCTGGAATCTCATGAAGGAGGGCGGCATCCCCAGCTGGAGGTCGTCCTTGTGGATTTCCGTATTGCTGTATTTGCTCATCAGGACAATTTCTCTGTGCAGCTGTACAGTCCGGTGGCGAAGCTCTGCTATTTTGCGACTCAACATGTAGCTGTGAAGTCTATACTGGTATGGTGGGTTCTTATTAGGATGCAACGTTATAGCTCTGTGTATTTTGCTGTTCCTAAGGTCTCTGATATAGCCTTTTTTGTTCTGTTCATAATTTTCATAAAACAGCTGCTGCATCTAGAAGACAGAAAGGACAAGTTAAGTTAGCATCTCGGCAGGGCTACAATTTCAGCAGCGCTGTACTTGTGAAAGTTCGCCCCCGCTACCCCTGCTGTGAGAAAATTCCCCCTTGCTGGCACGGCCAGGCGGCTTTCTGAATAAAGCCGTTCTTGGTCTTAGGCACAGGTTGTAGCAATACCAGCTGCTATTCAAGGAAATTAAGAGGATTATTCATTGTAAACTGGTGAAAGAAACATCTACTATGGATTATTACAGCCCATTCCAGAGATATCACCATCATCCAAATAACCGAGCAGTAAGTAGATCATAAGGTCATTTTTTCACAAAAACACTGCACCACCAGGGGAAAAAAAAAAACATGAAATTTTCATTATAAAGCCCTTAGTAGTCTCCTGCTTCCTCTGGGCCGTAGTAATAAAGGATACTATATACATAATAGAAAGGTATGGTGACACTTTTTCTGTTACACCCAAATGAGGTTCAGGCATTAAGCCCACAGCATACAGACATGAAAAATGGAGCTCGATGTATGTTTTAGCCACGATGCCAAATGTGCTCTTCAAAGTATTGCATTACCAAACAAAAAAGATTAAAAAAAGGCACAGCTCCCCTGTCAGTTTTAGAAATGTCAACAGAAAATAAAAGGGATGTGAAATTACTCGCATGCTAGGTAATACAGCATAAATATGTATGATGGCATAAAAAGCGTCCTTACAGTGGAAATTGCTATTCCAGAACAACAAGATAGCAAGCTAAGATTAGATTCAGAAGCCTTGTGGAAAGCCAGAACGTAAGCAAAGTAGACAAACCAGCTTTACAGTTTTCCATAGCTCAGGCAGTAGCTGATACAAGGAAAGGCGTGTGCAAGCCAGGATGATAATTTGGGAAATGTAATCTGAAAAAAATAAAACAAAATCCCAAGTCCAAAGTTATATACCAGCCTTGACAGCAGACATTTTAAAAGATCACAGGCTGATTCTACATCAAAATACAAATGCCACCAACCTGCCAGAAGAGCAGGCGCTACTGCTGCATTTCCTATAGGATCCAGTCTACATTGCTGGCCACAGAAATTGCTACAGGTAATACCATCAATAAAGCATGCATAAAAAGGCTATAAAAATTAGCAAACAGCTAAAATCCAAAACGCAGGAGAGGGTGACTTAAATGTAAATAGGGTAACAATTAAAATGGAGCACTAAAATGAAAATCGCACACGCATCCCTTAGACAGGGCAAGTGACGCTTCTGCCAGCTGTTCGGGCACAGCAGAAGCCCTTCCTTATTAGGCCTCCAATGGCATTTTTCCCATTATTGTCGACAGACATTGAATCTAAGGGATAAACTTACACCTGGATTTAATCGCCGCTACCTTAACAAACCAGATGTGCACATACTTAAACCTAAAGTGCAGCACATCGCTGTGGACAGCACAGGAGCAACCCGCATACGCTCAGAATTGCTCATGTGGATTTTAATCTGAACAAATGGAATTGATTTCAAAGGAGGAAGGAGTTTCAGCTGGACTCAGAAAGAAAGTACATTTATTCATGGGTCAGGACAAACCCCCTTGTCACCCATTCCTGCCCAAGTTCCCCTTCTTCGCCACTCTCCCCTTAGGTCCTTACGCCGCCTTTTACGTCTGAAAGCAATTCAGGCCAGAGACCGTCTCTTATTAGATATCATACAGTAATGCGGCCAAAGGAGAACATCTTGGCTAGGGCCTCTTGGCAAATCAGAGATGAGCCATCTGTCAAGATGTATATCCCTTTAGCAGTTAAGCAAGATTTAAAAGCGTGCTATAGGTAGAGGTTAGCTGGGCTAATCCTACGTCCAGCAGAGTTATCCAAACTGAACGAACCTCATGTTCTTCCGCTCTCCCGCAGTCTGCTCTTCCCATTTCACTTGTGACTCTCTACTAATAACACTATAGTTTTTTTTGGTCCACTCTGAACCTTGCCGTTTCTGTTCAGGGCTCGAGGACGGTGGCGACTTCAAATCGCACCCGCTGGCTCTCAGCCTTGCAAGCGCGGCTCGTTGCGGCGGAGAGCTCGTGCCGCAGGCACTGCCCCAGCCACACGCGGCAGACCCGCACGTGTATTTTTCACTCCAAGCTGACTCCACTGATCTAGCCTCTGTAACACACAACTAGAAGTATTAAGTGCATATAGCAACAAGGTGTATAGTTACAGGTTGCAGATTTCAACGTTTTAACTGTGATCCAACCACTGGCACAAGCTTTCCAAAGAACATTGTGATGTTAGATAAATATTCTTAAAAAACACTTCATTAGGGAGCTACTATTTAAAGGAAAATTGACAATGGGACTTAATTTCAAACCTTGTTTTCAATTTATAAGAAAACAAAATCGAGACCATGCAGCCTGCATGCTTTTCACTCCAAAACTCCCTTCTAGGGCATTCTGAATTAGCTACAAGAAGAAACTATGAGAAGCAGCAAGGTTTTTTAGATTACACAACAAAGTTTTAATAGGATACCGATGGGTAGGAAAATGTTATGAAACTTCTGAAAGCAAGTGAAGCTATGAACCCCAAACAAACTCTCCTAAATAAAATCAACACGAGTATTTTAAATGGCTTGCTATGTAGGAATAACCCGATAACAGCGCAGGCTAACTTTGGAGCTTGTCATAATACTTCTTTCCTTTTCCAAAAACTGGCTAAGTTAGAGAACTGAACTGAAAATAAATATCTCAGCCAGACTTTACTGGTGCTTCAACCCAAAGCAATTTACAACAGAAAAACCTATTAACATCCACCTTGCGCCAGCCAAAAAGGCGACGACTGCAACAAACCGTTCGCTCCAGTCAACGCTACAGTCAATTAATAAGATGCACCGCAGTAGCCAGACTTTTATATAATCCTGTTTTTTCAGAAGAATGCCTTGCAGGGCTGGCACTTTCATTATTTTTCCTACGAAGTTTCCCCCCTCTCCTCCCCCCGCCACTCTTGCCTCCTTGCATTTAGCGAGCAGAAATAGCCGTCGAAAGCTCCAGCATCCTGCGGGCCGCAGTCTCCATTTAAGAACCGGTATATACCACATTTTAGTATTAAACACGCAGAAGAGTTTTAGAAGGGGTTAACAAATCACCTACAGATAGCGTAATGACTTACAAACTTGCTGCACGGTTGTATGAAGGGCTATAACTGAAGGTCAGCAGGTCACTAAAGCCAAAATCCGCCCCACAAACCCTGTAAGGGCTGAGGAGCCCGTTGAGACGGTCACAGCCCTCAAGTGCTGCGATGCCCACGTGCTTTCCTTCACAAGACGGTGGGTGTTTCCTTCGCATCGATTGCGGGCGCCTCCGGCAGCAGCGCCCCGCGGGCCGTCCCCACGCCGGGCCCGGCAGGGCTCGGACAGGGCCGGGCGACGGGTTAGATCATTGGGCTAGATCACGACGTGGGTAACGCCTGGCTATCGCCCACTGCTGCCAACAGCGCCTACCTCGTTTGGGTCCGTGACCCTGCGTTAAGTATTCCCTGGGAGCACACGCAGGTGTTTGATGCCACACAGTCCTGGAAAGCCATAAGGAAGAAGCACCGCTACCTTTTGTGTCCACCATTAATAGAGACAGCGGTGGGGGGGAGGCAGGCAAGCGAATACCTGCTATGTATTTGTTCCTCCCACGTAGCAGCCGTTAAAGATGCACACGCTCCGGCGTGACCCAAGCCCAGAACGTACACGTCTCTAGCAGACGTTACGTGCAAACCTTCACAGGACTCTAGTACCAGATTCTTGCTGGGTGAACACGTATGCAAACTCTGCTTTTAGAGAGACAGGTTTCTCTAGGATCCTTTAAGAAAAGAGCCTTTCATGGATATTAATTTTGCACCGATTATATTCTAAGCATGCTTTATTCTAGCGCAGAGCGCTGAGAGCGCAGGGATACAAAGAAGAGCTACTCTTTATTGACCACTATTTACTCTAGACCTGTCGAAGCCTTAAAAACCCTAATGTTCCCCAAACCATTAGAGACTGAATGTTTAAACTGTGGTACAGCTGTTGTGGGCACTACTGGCTCCTGTCCAAAAGACCAACTGAAAGAGAGAGTGTTATGTTCTTCGTTTTAAATGAAGAAGTCTTTTGCAGGCCAAAAAAAGTGTACTGGAGAAAATGGACTTAAAAAATAAGACCAGTTTATGCAGAAGCTGGCCTGCAGCCACAGATCAGCCCCTGAGGGCTTTCTCTCACAGCTCCAGATTGTACTGCCACAGCCCAGAAAACGCAGCTCCACAAGGCTCACGGAAAGCAAGCGTGGACAAGACGTTGCATGGCAGCCTTCTAAATGCCCAAGATGTACTTCAAACACAAAGGCAACCTAATTAAAAGCAAGAAAAATGGCTAATGTCACCTAGCTCGTGAGTACTTCCCTTGGGAGCAGGTTGCTCTCCGCAGCTGGTGAGGGGCTGTTCTTCTGCAAGAGGCTCCACAGCAAGAAGGTCCGCGACTGCCCTTGCCCAGCCTGGGCGCTTTACTGCCGAAAGCGCCCGGTGCCGCTCGCCTCGGGCTCCTTCCACGGATGTGCTACGCGGAGGTACGAGCACTGCTGCTGTGTAGCTTATGTTGGGGGGGCTGAAGGGCAATGAAAGCTGCCTTGCATCCAAATCCCGAGTCGCCTAATGAAATAATCGTAGCTGCACTTAAAAGCAATTAATCCACATGGATCATTGGTTTTCTGGTTCTCAGCCTTGATAAAATGCTAGACCTGTAGACCAAACTGAAAGGAGGGGGGCGAGTGGTGGAGGGGGAGACTGCAGTGACCTTTCCGGATACAAATTTGAGTATTAAGTACTCTTATTTGTGACGAACTTTCCATTTTAACTCCTGATGCTTTATGTGCGATCCCACAGCTAAGCACCGTCAGGACTGAAGTGACTCGTGGCAAGAATTATTCTGGTGGAGACAAACACGCAGAAGTAATGAATAAACACTCATTTCCAGTGAACTTGGCCACTCTTTCATCCCTGCAACCTCTGC